TTGGCTCGCGCGGAGACGGCGGCGGCGGGTGCTGGACGGAGACCCATAATCTGAGTATCTGCATGCCCGTGGGTGTGTGTCGAGGGGAATTTTCATTCCCGAAATAGGCTGCTTCATCACCATCTTCTGGATCAAGTAAGAAGTTTGGTCCGATGCGTTCTGAGACATTTGTGTCGACAAGTTGAGGTGTAGCGTAACCTTGGCCAGCGAAGTGGTAATGGGTGTCGAGGTTATTACTATCGAGAGGATTGTCGTTGTCGAGTGGAACAGGCACGGAACAGTAAGAGAGTGGTCCGGCAGCTTCCGAAGCTCCAGGTACGTCTTCTTCTGCTGCGTCAGCCTCGGCAGCACGGTCGGCGAAGGACCGAAGGCCTTCGAAGTCATTCGCGGGGTCTTCTGTGTTTGCAATGTTGTCCAGGTAATGCTGCAGCGTCAGTCGTTCGTAGAAAATCACATCACGTTAGGCCACTGTGTTTTTGTCTTGTATGTCGAGAAGTTTCCATGCTTGGAAATGTTTGGCGATGCCGAGGTGTAGTCCCCATCGTGCTCGTTGAGAGAATCGTCCTGCGCGTGCTGTGTGGGGTCTGTACTGTACCATGCAGCCGAAGACTCGAAGTAATTTTGTGCTGCCCTGTTTTCCCGTCCAGAGCAGGTGCGATGATGCTTTGTTGGGAAGTGATGACGAGGACAACAAATTGTGCTGGTGAACTGCATGGGTCATCGCGTCAGGCCAAAGCGTGTTGGGCAGTCTCATCCCCAGGAGCAGCTTCCGCATCGTCGTCTGCAAGGTCTGGTTCATTCTTTCTGTGACCCCGTGCTGCTGGTGAGCGTAGGGCAGAGACACCGGGCGTCTGATTCCTCTTTCTGCCAAGTAGTTCCTGAATCCTTGTGACTGGTATTCCAGTGCGACGTCTGACTGGAAGCTCTTGAGTTGAGTTCCTGATTCTCGTTCAGCGATGGGGAGCCACGTCGTGAAGGCTTCGAATGCTTGATCGCGTGTCTTGAGGTTGTAGTGCCAGACGTATCTTGTTGCTACGTCGATGAACGTGATGACATAGTTGAAGTCTGCTTCACTGTCGTCTCGCGGCATATTTAAGATGTCGCTGTAAACCTTTTCCATCGGTGCGTATGCAGGCGCACTTGGATTGTGATGCGACGGAAAGGGTTGGTGTGGAAGATCGACTTCAGCATCTGGCGTGAGGTCGTCGAAGCTCTTGTCCGCTCGTTGTGAGGAGAGCGTCCTTTTCTAATACTCCAGCTTGGATTGTTTGTAGAATTGTACTATTTGCAGGGTGACCGAGGCGTTGGTGCCAGATGTCGTCGGGAGCGCGATGGCCGGGGGAGCGCTGATACAAGCTGGTGTTGGAGAAGAACGCGACGACTGTTGCGGGACTGCGGCAAACTCCTCGAGCGTTTGGCATGAGTTGGTCTGCTTCGGTTGGTGGCCCTCGGAGTGCTGGTGATGGCACACGACTAGGTCCTGCTGCTGCTACTGCAGGTGATGTTGCGGGTGGGACACTTGCTGGTACGTGTCTTTCTTGTCGTATGACTGCTAACGCTCGGGTCCTTTCTGCTGCAGGTATTGTGTTGGAGTACCAAAAACCATCTGGTGTAAAGTCGGGGTCAAGATCCGGCGGGTGCGTCCATGCGGCGAACGACACGATGCCATCGCTGTCGGCAGTACCACGGTCGGGGACGAAATCCAACACGAAGACGCCCGACTTCGCGAGAGCGCGGCCGATGAAAAGGCCGCTCTTCCCGTGGTAAAGGCGAAATTTGTTGGAGTCCGAGTCGTATTCCAGGTGAATCCCTTTTGCCATTAACTGGCTGACGCTGAGTAAGTTGTATTCCAAGTTGTCGACGATTAGAACTTTGTTGAGTTGCAGTATGACGTTTGTCTCCATTGACTGAAGCTGAACGACGCCTTGTCTGTCTGTTTTCAGATTCTCGTTGTTGGCGACGGTGATGATGACATCATGGTTGAGACGTCGCTCTCGTTGCACGAAGCGCTCGGAAGAACACATATGTTGGCCGCAACAACTGTCCAAGAACCAAGTGTTTCGCCTGGTGGGTTCGGCATTGGCGACTGCAGCGTACGTTGGGTTAACCTGAAGTCCTTGTGAGCGCGGCGGCGACAGTTCTTCTTTGTCTGGAGCGTAAGTGGGTGGTGATCCGGGTGCGCAGTTGTCGATGTGTATCATGCAATTGATGATGTTCGGTGTCCCTTGTGTAGATGTGGAAGAGCGCCTTGGAGGGATTTCTTGCTCTTTTGCAGTGCCATTGCTTGGACATGGTAGGGACCCGTTGAAGTATCCCAAGAGGTGCGCGGCCTCCATCAACAGCTCGAACTCAAAACTCCAGGCAAAGAAGTCGTGTCCATTGAACGGTGAGGATGTCTGCAGTTTGATCACGTGTGAAAACTGCGCTTGGAGACTCAATATCTCGTTTGGTGTCTGTTGTGATGCAGCTGTTGTTGGTTGGGCACGGGGCGGCATGAACTCGAACGTCCCCGGTGAAGAGTGATAAGGCGCAAAGGTAGGCGCTTGATTGTGTCGCCCGAACGATGAGTTGTCGAAGCTCATCGGCGCTAATCCCATGTTTCCTCCGTTGCTCTGTGTTGAATGCACATGTGTCCTTGTCTGCTGCTGCTAGTCGAAGTGTGACATGAAGCTGAAGAACCTTTCCATAAGGTTCGGGTCCACGCTTGAAGAGGGTGATGGGGTCACCATTTCTGGTGCTCTTCCTGTTGTTTCCTGAGCAGCGCCGGTCTCGGTTTGCAGTCCTGAAGTGTGCAGTCCAGAATTGCCGGGTTGAGTGTCTTGGGCGCTGGGTGAGCCTGTAGAGGGTTTCTTGCCCTTGCTGTCCATGACTTGTAATCAATGAAGTCGTTGGTGTGCTGATTGTAGATAGAGCGTAGTTGCTGGGAGTTTGGTCTCTGACCAGCTCTCATACCATGTTGGGCTGAGAAGAAGCCCTTAGGATCTTTCCAGAGACTGAGTCCCAGTTGTAAGAGATGCTTGAGTAGTGCAGCGGAAGTTGAGTAGTTGAACCCTTGCACTAGTATGTGAGAGCAAGTGATTGATTAAAGGAAACAAGCATACAGCAATATATAGAAAATAGGAAAGTAAAGCAGTTGTAGAATACAGTTGAAGGAACGGTTATCGAGTCGCACAGCGACTCGATGGTCGATTCGGTTGCCACTCTTGCAGTTGTAACGGTCAGTCGCAATCGGAGGTTGCGACCCTTCGAGTCTTTCGTCCTTTCGTGTTCTTTCGTCCAACCTCCTCGTGTAACCTCCGTTGACTCGCATCCTCGATACGGCTTTACTCGAGTGTGGTGTTACACTTCAGAAACACTTAAGTCCTTGAGGTATTTCCAACAACTTAGCGCTCATGTACTTTCCCTTCCTATAATGCACTCGCAATCAAAATTACTCCGAGTCAGTTCACATCCCTAAAGTTAGGACACTAGCTTAGCTAGGATACTAGGAAGGCCGCCATGGAATGCCGTGAGGAAAGTAGATCTAGGAGCGTGAGGAGAAAAGTTGACGAGAAAGAAGAGAGTCGATTAGGAAGAGAGAGGAGTACAAGGAGGGGTTTGTACCCCCTACAGAAAGGTTCAGTAACAACCTACCAAGCCTATATTAAATTATAACTTATATAATTTTAACACACCCCCTAGGCTTGGTAATGTCAAGCCCACGCACACCCCCACACCCACACCCACACCCCATAGCCCAGCACCCCCATTCCCAGCAGGAGCTGCAACGACTCCGGAAGAGGGCAGCTCCCACGGCCCGTGAGATGGCAATGGCGGCAGCGGCGACAGTGACGACAGCGGCGGCGGCGGCAGCGGCGTGCGGCGGCACCAGGCCCGCGGCAACAGCGGCGGCGGCGGCGGCTTGAACGTCAGAGGCCGGTGCAGCGGCCCCCGCCCTCTCGGCGGCATGTCCAGTCTCCTCGGCGGTGGAGAGGGCCCTAATGAGGCAGTCATCGGTGGCAGGAGGGCGGGCAGGTGGCGGTTACGACGGCGTGCTGCCCATTGCCGCCCATCGACGCCGCCGTGGCAGCATGACGACGCCGCCAGAGCGCGGCGTCGACGCTGTGGCGGCACGCCGACGCTGCAACGGCAGCAAGGTGACGCTGCCACGGCAAAGCGTCGACGCCACCACGGCAGGGCGTTGAGGAGGCGACGGCCGCACGACGAAGCCGCCATGACAGGCCGGCATGGCCGCCATGACAGGCCGGCATGGCCGCCACGGCGGGATGGCAGTGACGAGAGAAATGCGCGGCGGAAGCGACGGCACGACAGCGCGACGCCACGACAGCGCGACGCCACAGCAGCGCGTCGAGACGGCCGCGGCACGACGCGGCCGGCGGCACGACACGAGCGCCATGGCAACGCGAGAAGCGTGAGTAGGCGGTCCAGCAGGAGGACCTCCTGCTCTGATACCATCTTAGAAACTTAGGAGGCTAGGTCCCTAAAGTTAGGACACTAGCTTAGCTAGGATACTAGGAAGGCCGCCATGGAATGACGTGAGGAAAGTAGATCTAGGAGCGTGAGGAGAAAAGTTGACGAGAAAGAAGAGAGTCGATTAGGAAGAGAGAGGAGTACAAGGAGGGGTTTGTACCCTCTACAGAAAGGTTCAGTAACAACCTACCAAGCCTATATTAAATTATAACTTATATAATTTTAATACACATAACCCATTCACATGAAGAGATGCAACAAAATGAAGTTCCCTTAGATACTTGTCTTTTTCATAATTATTGGCATGCCACATCTGAAATTTTCATAATATATGATTTTTCAAAGTATGTCTTACCTTCATTATTTTTTGCTTAGTGCTTGCCTTAGGGCATCTAGCGTTTGTGGGTAGGGACTCCTACATACTTGAGTGTACAATGTATAGCACACCCCTGACCGTGTGTTGTATTTATAACGGAGCACGGGCTTTCGTACAGTACAGTCCACAGGATCGCACCCCTGAGACGAGCACCGTTCGATTTCTCCGTCTCGCGTCGCATCTTCGTTGTTCTTGTGCTGCCCAAATCTCCTCGTATCGCGGTCTCACATCTGCGCTAATCGCGGGTACCACGACCAAAGTACTAGCAGCCAGAACCAGCCACCCCTGCCGCTCGCTATAACCACTAGCAGTCAGTTCTTTACAATAGCGCGCAACAGCCAGTCGGAGGATGCGCCTTCCAAGTCGACTCAAAAGACGTGTCTAGTTACCAGTATCGTGCCATGTGTCATCACGCCCGCCAGCCGGATATTAATCCTCTCGTTCTTCGCATCCTCTCGTTCACGATCATCCCGCGCATCGTGTGGCATCACACCTGCTGCCCGCTGCCCGCTGGCCGCCCACGATCATCCCGCGCTCCCGCGGAAGCCTGAATCTCCGCAGCTGTAGACGATCTCTGGGGAAATCTCCGCGTTTTCCGGATGCCTGGGAGCGGCATCGCGCTGTCCGGCCCGGCAGGATTCGGTCAGTGGGTCGTTGAGGCGGCGTGCGATCAGGGCGACTTGTGATTGAGGCGACGTGTGGTTGAGGCGACGTGTGGTTGAGGCGACGTGTGGTTGAGGCGACGTGTGGTTGAGGCGACGTGTGGTTGAGGCGACGTGTGGTTGAGGCGACGTGTGGTTGAGGCCGCGTGTGGTTGAGGCCGCGTGTGGTTGAGGCCGTGTGTGGTTGAGGCCGCGTGTGGTTGAGGCCGCGTGTGGTTGAGGCCGCGTGTGGTTGAGTCCACTCAGAAGTCACCTTGAGATTCGTCTCATGATCACACAACAACACTCATCTCTCCCTTGTTCGCTCCTTGTTCGCCCTCATCTCTCCTCTCATCGCACCCCACCCCTTCCCATCCCTCCTCTTCTCCCCCCCTCCTTCCCCCAGAAGGAGCCCCTGTGACCCGCGCCATCGTCCTCCTCTCCTCCCTTTCCTCCCTCCTCCTCCCCCTCGGCCCGCACGCGGCGCTCGCCGCCCTCTCCTACCCCTCCCTCTTCCTCCACCGCCAACAATGGCGCCTGCTGCTCGCGCCGCTGGCCTTCCCCTCGCTGCCCGCGCTGCTGCTGGGCTGTGCGCTGATCTTCCTGCTGCGCGTGCACGAGCGCCAGATGGGCCCCTGCAAGTTCACGGTACATTGCTCAGACGGAGAGGGGTGGGGTGGGGTGGGGTGGGGTGGGGTGGGGTGGGGGGTCTTGATTGGAATTGGTCTGCCCCGTGTGCACGAGCGCCAGATGGGCCCCTGCAAGTTCACGGTAGTTTGCTTGAGCAATGAGCAGATTCTAGGGTCTGACTCAAAAGTCACCTCGCGCCCCTGGTCGTCCCCCCTGCCTGCCACCGCTGCTGCTGGGCTGCGCGCCGCTGTTCCTGCTGCTCGTGCACGAGGACTAGATGGGCCCCTGCAAGTTCACGGTACGTTGCTCAGATGGAGAGGGGTGGGGTGGGGTGGGGTGGGGCGGGTTGGGGGGTTGTGATTGGCAATGGTGATTTTCACAGGGGGGTCTGCTCCGTGTGAGCGAGCGCCAGATGAGCCCCTGCAAGTTCACGGTACGTTGCTGGGAAGAGTACAGGGGGGTGGGGGTGGGGGTGGGGGTAGGAGTTGGGGTGGGGTGGGGTGGAATGGGGGCGTCTTGATTGGCAATGGTGATTTCACCACAGGAGTGATTTCACAAGGGTGAATTTCGTAGGGGTAATTTTAACAGGGGTGTTTTCACAGGGGTGGCACGGGCGGCAGCTGGTGCGCTGCTTATTTATCTCCCTCCTTTTGCAACCTCTCCCTCTCTCCTGCTCCCCCCCCTTGCAGGTGTTCTGCCTCTTCTCCCTCCTTGTCTCGTCCGCGCTTCAAGTGCTCGCCCTCCTGCTGCTCTCAGGTTCTCTCCACCACTGCCATGCTGCTGCTGCTGCTGCTGCTGCTGCTGCTGCTGCTGCTGCTGCTGCTGCTGCTGCTGCTGCTGCTGCTGCTGCTGCTGCTGCTGCTGCTGCTGGCTGCTGCTGCTGCTGCTGCTGCTGCTGCTGCTGCTGCTGCTGCTGCTGCTGCTGCTGCTGCTGCTGCTGCTGCTGCTGCTGCTGCTGCTGCTGCTGCTGCTGCTGCTGCTGCTGCTGCTGCTGCTGCTGCTGCTGCTGCTGCTGCTGCTGCTGCTGCTCCTGCTGCTCCTGCTGCTCCTGCTTCTGAGCCGGCTCAGAATTACCTTTGATTCGACTTGAGTTGACTTAGAATAAGCTCTGAGTCGAGCTCGAGCTTAAGTGCAGTAGTTCTGAGAGAGCAGTTCTGAGAGAGCTCGAGCTTAAGTGCATGCATGCTCGCACATGCATGCTCGCACATTCATACTCGCACATGCATGCTCGCACATGCATGCTCGCACATACATGCTCGCACATGCGTGCACAAACGATCCAAGCATGCCGTGTACTAGCAGCATAAGCGTGAGCACGTCCTGACTCATGTCACGCCTATGCTACTGGTGCGTGCACCGAGCAAGCATGTCATAATACACCACACACACACCAACGTGCTTGCCTTGCCTCCTCTCACTCTCATCGTTCTCATCGCACTCAACCCGCACACCCCCCCCCCTCCCCGCTACCCCCTCCCCGCTCCCCGCTCCCTGCTCCCTGCTCCCCGCTCCCCGCTCCCTGGCACCACACCCCCTACTGCCATCACCCTCTTCCCCATCATTCCTCCTCTCCAGCCGCCCCTCTTTCCCTCGCCCACCCCCATATTTACCCCCATATTTACCCCCATATTTACCCCCATATTTACCCCCATATTTACCCCCATATGCACCCCCATATGCACCCCCCATATTTATGCCCATATTTAACCCCATTTTTACCCCCATATTTACCCCCACATTTACCCCCATATTTCTCTGACCCACCCCGCTGGCCATTCCCTTCCCCTCCCTTGATCCCCATACAGGCGCACCTAGTACCGCTTCTCTCCCCTCCCTCTCTTCGTTCTCCCCCTCTTCCCCCCCCTCCTCCTCCCCTCTCTCCCCCCCACCCTGGACCCTCTCCCCCGGCCCCTACGCACTCGTCTCCGCCCTCCTGCTCCTCTCCTACGCGGACGTGCCTCCCTCCACTCGCTTCCTCCTCTTCTCCCGCATCCCCTTCACCGATAAGACCCTGCTCATGCTCGCAGGCTTGCAAGTGAGTGGGAATGAGGGGTGTGGGACTGTCTTTGAGTGGCCTCAAGATTCCATCCACTCGCTTCCTCCTCCTCCTATCCGGCTGGCCGCATCCCCTTCACGGGATAAGGCGTTGCTCATATTAATTGAGCTCCTCCTATTCACGGGATAAGGTGCTGCTCATGCTCGCGGGCTTGCAGTTGAGTGGGGGTGGAGGGTGTGGGAGTGTTTTTGAGGCGCCTCAACTTTCCCTCCACTCGCTTCCTCCTCATCTCATGCGTCCCCTTCACCGATAAGGCCCTGCTCATGCTCATGGGCTTGCAGGTAAGTGGGGATGGGGGGGGGGAGTATGTCTCTAGGTCAAGATTCCCTCCACTCGCTTCCTCCTCCTCCTTTCTCGCACGCATCCCCTTCACTGATAAGACCCTGCTGCTCATGCTTGCTGATTTGCAGTTAAGTGGGGATGGGAGGGTGGGTTGGCAGGGTTGCGGGAAGGTTGGGCGTGGAGTGGGTGTGTGTGAGGGTGGGATGTGGGGGTGTGTGGAAATCTTTTGAAGGCTCTTTTCATCCCTTTAAATGCTCTTTTTGAAGGAGTGCTCATGCTTTATGGGAATAATGAAAGTGCTGCTCTTCTGAAACAAACTCCGCTGGAACGCCTCAATGCCTCGTCCTTCTCTCCCCCCTTCCCTTCTTCCATCCCCCCCGTCCCTGCCACACCGCCTGTTGATCCCGCCACCACCAGCTGCTGCTGTCAGACGGCCTCTCCTCCCTTCTTCCTGGCGTCACGGAGCTGGTTGCCCAGTCCACTCGAGGCTCAGCTCCTCTTCTGTTCTTCCTTCCATCCCCCCCGTCCCTGCCACACCGCCTGTTGATCCCGCCACCATCAGCTGCTGCTGTCAGACGGCCTCTCCTCCCTCCTTCCTGGCATCACGGGGCTGGTTTCTGCCTCGCTCTACCGCTGCAACGCACTCGGCATTCGCAAACTCACGGTATGGATGCTGGTTTTTTGAGTTCTAAAAACTCTCTGACGGTACAGAGGACAACATTTGACGTTTCGACTACTCTCATATTCCACCACCAGCAGCTGCTACTGCTGTCCCTCCCCCCCCACTTACTCCCCCCTTCCTCCCCCTCTCCCCCCAATGTCCCCGTTCCACTTCCACCTTTCCCCCCTTGTTAATACCCAAAGCAGCTTGTGGTATGCACTGGCCACTGCTTTTGCTTTTTGTGTCCTGGATTTGAGTTTTTTCAAATTGTCTCACCCTATCGTGATGGCTTGCTTGCAGATGCTGCGTTTGAGTCGACTTATAAGCATGGCTGGGGATTGAGCTCTTTTGTATCGTCTCACCCTGTCTTGATGGCTTGCTTGCAGATTCCAGAGCCCATGGCAGATCAAGTGTCCCAGGGGCATTTTTATCATTCTCATAACACACCTTTCTCATATTGTCTCACCCTGTCTTGATGGCTTGCTTGCAGGTACCAGAGCCCGTGGCAGATCGAGTGTCCCAGGGGCTTTCCTCTGCTGCCAGTTACATAAGTGCCGCCACCGCTTATGTCGTCAGCTTGCTTAGGCAGTGCCTGCAACGAGTGCAGCAGCATCTGCAACAACGGCTGCAGCAGCAGCGGCAGCAGCAGCAGCACGGGCTAGGGCAAGAACAGTTTGAGCATGAAAGGTTGCCGTTCCTTCAACAACCAAGACAGCAACAGCAGCAGCAGCAGCAGCAACAGCAACAACAACAACAACAACGGTGGCAGCAGTGGCTGCAGCAGCAGCATCGAGCAGACCAAGTAACGGAACAGACTCCTCTGCTAGGATACCCTGTATGACATGCACGCTGTGTGGGGATGGTTTGTGCACGCGGTGTGGTATTGGCTTGTGCTAGCTTGCCATGATCACTTTGCGCATGTGCATCTGCATGTTTGTGCATATACATGTGTTCATCCTGTCATTCAACCCCTCCTCCACGCTCCGGTGATTCCATTCCGCTGCTGCCTCGTTTCTCAACCTCTCACCATTTTCTTTTTGACAACTCTCCAAGCGCTATCGTCTCGTGTAACGTGTTCCCCAGTCAAAGTCCTACAATACCGTTCACTCCCCACAGCTTCCCAGCTATCTCCACTCGCCCTTCGGCTCCTTCCCCTCAGACTCATCCATCAGCGCACTTGCCTCCATGAGCTTCCACAGAACCATGGTGGGAGTCTGGTTTTGCGGCACCTCACTTCTCTCTGCCCCCATTCCCTCTCTTCCTCCTCTTCTTCTCTTCCCCCTCCGCTCCCCACAGCTTCCCAGCTATCTCCACTCGCCCTTCGGCTCCTTCCCCTCAGACGCATCCATCAGCGCACTCGCCTCCATGGGCTTCGACCGGAGTGCCGCTGTGGCAGCGCTGCTGCAGTGCCATAACGACCTCACGCTCGCCACGAATCTCCTTGTAGAGTCACAGCAGCAGCAGCAGCAGCAGCAGCAGCTGTAGCCACTTTTAGCGGTATATGTAGTTTAGACAGAAGCGTTGTAGCGGCAACACCCTCGCCGCTGTGGCAGCGCTGCTGCAGTACCACAACGACCTCATCCTCGCCACGAATCTCCTTGTAGAGTCACAGCAGCAGCAGCAGCAGCAGTCTGTCACCCTGAGTGAGGGTTACATATGCAGCCAAGGTAGTCATGGAGATATGCATTTGATCGCTGGTGTCAAACATTTATGCAATATGTTAGTATAGGCTAGTTAGGTGTATGCCTTTAGAGAGTACAACCCACTTGGTGAAAGCACTCTGTACTGTTGTTTCTATTCATCTCGCTACTTTGAGATGGTATCGAATAGGTTCCGTCCTACCACCCGCTTCCGCCCTCGCCCTTCCCTTAGCGCCCCGCTGGCCCGTTAGCACCCTCCTGGCCCCGTGCGCCCTGCTGGCCCCTCAGCGGCCCGCTGGCCCAATAGCGCCCTCCTGGCCCCGTACGTCCCGCTGGCCCCTAAGCGCCCCGCTGGCCCGTTAACGCCCTCCTGGCCCCATACGTCTCGCTGGCCCCTAAGCGCCCCGCTGGCCTGTTAGCGCCCCTCTGGCCCGTTAGCGCCCTGCTGGCGCCATTCGTCCCGCTTGCCCCAAAGCGCCCCGCTGGCCCGTTAGCACCCTCCTGGCCCCGTACGTCCTGCTGGCCCCTAGGCGCCCCGCTAGCCCGTTAGCGCCCTCTTGGCCCCGTACGCCCCGCTAGCCCCGTCGCGCCCTGCCAGCCCTGTGCGCCTCGCTTGCCCCGTGCGCCCCGTACGCCCTAGCCTCACCGGTCTCGTCGTGCCTCGCAGGCCCCGTTCCTGCCCAGCTGGCCCCCTAGCGCCCTGCTGGTCCCTTGTGCCACGCTGGCCCCATTCGAGCCAGCTCTCGTTCCTGCCGTCCCCAGCGTGCCGCGCCGCCGCCGTGCCGCCGTCCTGCCGTGCCGCCGCCGTGCCGCCGTACCACCGTGCGGTCGCCGTGCCGTCGTCGTGCCGCCGCCGTACAGCCGCGTCGTCGTGCTGCCGTGTCGACGTGCCGCCGTATCGCTGAGGTCGTGCGATGGCGGACGCTGTGCTGCGCCTGGACGTGGAGGGGCGCGCGATCGACTACGACGCCTGGCTTGTCAACCTTCGCCGATACCTGACAGATTAGTACAAGTATCACCACTCCCTGGCTGTTCATGTTGATGGCTTGCTTCCCCGCCCCCCCGCGCATGTTGCCCTCATTGACGCCCCCACCACTGCTGGGCGTGAGGCCTTTACCACTGCTGCGCTTGCTCGCGCTGTCTGGGATTCGCGCGATGTCGTAGCGCAGCTTGCCATTAGTCATGCCCTCCCCCTGTCTGAGCGTCCCCGCTTTACCTCTGTTGCGAACGCTTAGGCATTCTTAGAGGCAGTCGATGATCGCTACTCCACGCCCGCCTCCGCCTCCGCTGGCTGCCTAATCCTCCCTATGCTTTTCCCTGACTTATCCACGCACCTTCCGGACTGCTTAGCCACTGCCCGCGACCACTTCCAGACCGGCCCCTTCCGCGGCACTGTGTGCGGTCGTCCGCACCCTACCACCCGCTGCTTCAGCCGCCCCGACGGCCTCTTTCGCCGCCGCTTCGGCGTGGCGCCGGACCTCCCCGACTGGTTCAGTCTTGTGCGCCGTAGTGTGCTTGTTTTTGAGTTAGACATGGATCAGATGTGTTCTGCTTTGCATTCCCTGTATGCTGATGCCTCTAGTGTGACCGGACCAGGCCCCCAAATTGCAGACTTTTTACTCTGATTCAGACATTTTTCCGAGTTTTTTTGGGGATGTACTCTGATCGCAAAGACATTATTTTGAACCTTACTCTGATTTTTCAGAAAAGATTTATGAACATACGCTGATTTTTCAGACTTTTTTTACTAGTGTAGTCTGATGCCTCAGCCCTATATGGGGTGTTGACACTGATTCGTCATGTAATACAGTGATAGGGGGAGTGTGATTTGCGTTATTACCCCTGTGGAGGGTGCTGACTAGCACTTGGACAAAATCAGGGAGAGCGCGATGCTTGTCGGAGGCTTTGTGAGGGCGCTTTCTGGCCCTTCACCAAAATCAAAGGCCAATGCGTACTGGGGGCAGTATGAGGGAGCTGACTGGCCCTTCACCAAAATCACTTCCCAGTCAGTGTTGGAGGAGGTGCGAGGGGCCGACTGGCTCTTCACCAAAAAAACATTTGCCGATGTGTGCCGCAACCTATGTGTGTGAGGGCGCCCATTGGCCCTTCGCGAGATTCTCAACTCTTTGATTCGCCCCGCCTCAAATCCGTTCCTCCCCCAAATTCGTCCCGCACATGCACTTTGTTACGAGCCACTACACCCCGTTTTGTCGCCAGCTGGCACGTGCAACTGCGTCTTGGGTGGCGCGACTGTGCACCTTCGCCACAGTTGGTGCGACAGACAACTAGAGCACAAAGAACGCCCCTAGCATGCCATGCCCAAGAAGTCTGAGTGCAAGACACTCATTGTCATGTGACATGACAAAGGCTTTAAATTCAGCTTTGAAAAAAAGGTGACTGTGATTTATCAAACAAAACATCCATTGTTACTCTTATTTTTCAGACTTTTTTTAGGGCCGACTCTAACAACCATACCAAGGAATGGTAGGCAAGTCTGATGAATCAGACACCCCCAAAACCGATTTGGGGGCCTGGACTGGACCTTATTAGCTTGTGTTGCCTAATTTAGGTGTGCCACATGTGTGTAGTGTAGACTCCCCTGCTGCGTCAGGCATAGGACCTTCTGCTTTGTTTAGTCTAGGCTCAACGCTCTCTCCTCCGCCGGCTACAGCTTCCGCTTCGCTCTCCTTCACACTTGACGCTGGCGCATCTGCCCACTTCTTCCGTGACCACACTGCGCTCACACCGCATGCCGCCCCTACTACGGTCGCGCTTGCTGACCCCTCCCCCGGTCCGGTAGTTGCTCGTAGCTCCACTACTCTTCCCTGTCTGGCGGTTCCCTCGAGCTCCCTTACAGGCCTGCACATCGCCTCGTTCTCCAAGAACCTAGTTGGTGTCGGCAGTCTTCACTACATTCCCCGGGCACGAGCGGTACGTGGTCCGTACCGACGCCACTACAGATACCCCTCTCACCACGTTCCCCCGGGATCCTCAGTCTGGCCAGTTTACCCTCGACACCTGGGCCAGTTCGCCTCTAAGAATGCCTGGATTGGTCGCCACAGAGCCGACTAGAACTGGCCCAGCCGACCAAGTGCCTGCGTCTACTCAGATCGCTGCGGCTTGCTCGTGTCGATCGCTCACTCATTCGTCGTTTCTGTTGCACCACCATCTAGGTCACCACGCACTCCCTCATCTGCGTCACATGTCATAGTACGGTCTTGTCCTAGGTCTCCCTGCATCCCTCCCTGCCCTCCCTCCCTTGCCTACGCCGCCGGGCACGCCTTGCATCTAAGGTCGGCTGCATCGTGCTCCTCACTCCTCCTTGCTTCGCCCTGCCACCGCGCCACTCCAGACCCTGGACCTGGACGTCTGGAGCCCAGCCCATGTCCCCAGGCCGTGTCGAGAGCGCTACTTTCTAGTGCTTGTCGACGACTACATGCGCTAACTACGCTGTTTCCTGTGGAGCGGAAGGCCGATGTGCCTGACGTTCTTATCCTGTGGGTCGTAGCTGCGCGCGTCCACCGCGGTCTCCCCGTATTGTGTCTCCACTCTGACCGTGGTGGCGAGTTCGCCTCTGGTCGGCTGGGCCAGTTCTGTCGTACGAGGGGCATCACCCAGTCGTACACCCTGCCGAACTCCCCGCAGTAGAATGGGATCGCTGAGCAATGTATCGGTTTGGTCATGGAGGTGGCGCGTACCTCCATGATCCATGTCGGTGCACCTCATTTTCTGTGGTTGTTCGTTGTTTGCTATCCGCTCACCAGCTTAACCTGTGGCCGCACTCTCAGTGGCCCCAGGTTTTGCCGACCCTTCTCTAGACCGGGTTCCCGTGTGGCGCGTCTGCATTCCACGTCTTGGGTTGCGTTACTCATGTTTGTGCCTTTGGCACAGACAAGCTTACTGCCCGCACAGTCCCCTGTGTCTTACTTGGCTCCCCCCTCGACTCGTCCGACTGGCACTTTTACCACCTGTCGTCCCACCGCTTCTTTCACTAGCGTGACGTCACATTTGACGGGTATGTCTCCTTCTACCACTGCTTTCCTCACAGAGGTCACCCGGTTTCCCCGCCCCTGTTTCTGGTTCCCACACCCTCGGTAGCCCCTGCTCCTCTCCCCCCCACGTTCTGCCCCCTCTTGTGTATCTCACGTCACTCCCCTCCTGTCTGTTGTCCCGCTCGAGAAGTCGTCTGACTTTGGTGGCCCCGTGGCTCCGTTCTTGCCGCTGATCTCCGCCTCAGTGTCTCCTCCTCCACTGTCGCCGCAGTAGCTGCAGTCGCCGCCGCCGAAGCAGCAGCCACCGCAGGGGTCCACGGGTCCTGGGGGTGGCACTGATGCTGGAGAGGTTTCCCGTTTTGACGGTGTTGGCGTGGAGCTTCTCTGAGGTAGTGTGGTGCACCTAGAGGTTCTGGTGTCGGCGTGGAGCCGCAGCCGCAGCAGTCGCCGCCAGTGTCGTCCTTTCGCCTCCTCGATCTTCCTTCCCCCGACCCCCCGCCTGCGCCTCCTTCGCCGACGCCTCCCCTGCCTGTCTATGGCCCTGTGTTTCCTCCGTCGGACTCGTCTCCGGCTCGTCTTCCCCCTCGTTCCCCTCCGGTGTCTCCTCCGCTGTCTCCTGAATCGACGCCTCCTTCTCACGTCTGGTCTCGCCGTCCCTCTCGTGCTCGTCATGTCTCTCTTGTTCCCTACTCTCACCCTATGATGCTTCGTTCTCACGCGTCTCGTCCTCCCCTCCTCCCATCGCCTTCTCGGTCGTCATTTGTTTTCGCGCCGCCTCCTTTTCTCTGACTTCCTTCGTGCTGCTAGTCCTCTTGTTCCCCGGGTCCTTGCCTCTCTCGTTGTCGTCACTGACTATGCCTCTACCCACCACCTTGACTACGCCACAGCTCTGGTCTCTGACCCTGCCTGTACTCCGTCTATCAGGGGTGCTCCTGCTCTTGGCAGTGACGTCCTAGAGGACAGACAATACGAGCTAGCTTTCCTGTCCGATGTTGCGCCTCATCTCTGCTCCATTCTGCTAGTCCCTGAGAGTGACCCAGATGCCCTCGACATCCCGACCCCTCGCACCTACGCTGAGGCGACCTCGGAAACATGGGCCTCTCAGTGGATAGCTTCCATGGAGCACAAGATGGCATCTTGGAGATCCACCGGCACCTTCATCGACGCAGTTCCCCGA